GGATTCACTATCCGAAATGAAGGTGAATTTACAAGGAATCAACAGTAGAGTAGATGAAATGGAGAGTCAAATCAGTGATTTGGAATATAAGGAAGCAAAAGCACTGAATCAGTAGAGCAGAAAGAAAAAGAATCTCCCCAAAATGAAGACATTGTAAAGAAGCTCTGGGACAACTTCAAGCATACCAACATTGGCACATTGGTGGTGCTGCAAAGAGAAGAGAGAGATCAAGAAATTGAAAGCCTATTTGAAAAAATAATGCCTGACAACTTTCCTAACCTGGTGAAGGAAATACACATACAAGACCAGGAAGTGCAGAGACAAACAAGATGAACCCAAAGAGGCCCACACCAAGACACATCATACTTAAAATGTCAAAGATTAAAGACAAAACGAGAATTTTAAAAGCAGCAGGAGAAAGACAGTTAAGTTGTCTAAAAGGTAGCTACCATAAGACTGTCAGCTGAGACAGTGACCAGAGGAGAGAGGGGAGGGAATTTCAGGGGAAAAGGGGCAGGATTTACAGGAACTAGTATAAAGGACACATGGACAAAAACTAAGGAGGGTGGAAGTGGGAGGGAGGTGGGGAGCACTTGGGGAGGTAGTCTGGAATGGGAGTAAAAGGCAGAAAACTGTACTTGAACAACAATTAAATAAATACATTTTAGAAAAAAAAAAAGATTGTCAGCTGATTTCTCAACAAAAACAATTCAGGCCAGGCGGGACTAGCACAAAATACTCAAAGTGATGAAAAGCAAGGTCCTACAACCAAGAATACTCTCCCCTGCAAATCTATGATTTAGAATCAAAGGACATAGAAGGAACTTCTCAGATAATAGCTAAAGAAGTTCATCATCACCATTATTACATGAAATGTTAAAATGTCTTATTTAAGAAGAAAAACAGGAAAAAAACCCAAAGTGAATAAGCAGAACAAAAATAGACTCATAGATACACAGAACTTTTGATGGTTGCCATATGGGAGGGGGGTTGAGGGCATGGGTGAAAAAAGTGAAGGGATTAAGAAGTACAAACAGAGTTAGAGAATATGGATGCACAGTACAGCATAGAGAATACAGTCAACAATATTCTAATAACTATATATGGTGTCAAATGGGTACAAGATATATCAGGATGACCATTTAGTAAGTTATAGAAATGTTTAATCACTGGGGTATACACCAAAAACTAATATAACATTGTATGTCTACTGTAATAGAAAAATTAAAAAAATTTAAAAAGAGAAAAATTAAGTTAAAAATAATTGGAAGGGCTAAAAGTACATAGACAAGCCACATACTGAAAGGAGATATTTTCTTTTTTTTTTCTTTTTCTTTTTTTTTTTATTTAGTTACTTTTCAAGTACATTTTTTTTAAAAATCTATTTCTCCCATCCCACCCCACCCCCCCGCCCGGTCTCCCCCCTCCCTCCCATCCCCCCCCAGTCCTCATCTCTGTGTCTTTCATACTTGTTCCTCAAAATCCCTCCCCCTTTTTCCCCTTAAGTTCCCTTCCCTCTCCCCTCTGGTCGCTGCCCACTTGTTCTCTATTTCAGCGTCTTTGTTTTTCTTCTGTTTGCTTGTTTGTTTTATTCTTTAGCTTCCTGTCAAAGGTGAGATCATATGGTATTTGTCCTTCAATGCCTGGCCTATTTCACTCAGCATAATGCTTTCCAGTTCCATCCATGTTGTTGCAAAAGGTAGTAGCTCCTGAAAGGAGATATTTTCAATTTATACAACTGACAAAGGATCAGTATCCAGAATAAATAAATAATTCCTAGAAATCAATTAGGAAAACAAAGTCTTGTTCATTGTAGTTCATTTTATAAAGTTTCAGTGACGGGTACTCATAAAATAAAATTATGCAAACATACTGAAAGGACACAAACCAAATTCAATTTTGGAAGAGTAGTTAACTCTGGGAAGAAAAGGAGCAGGGAGAGCTTCACACAGGTCTTTAACATTTTGTTTCTTTAAAAAGAAAGAGCAGCATGAAACAAATGTGGCAAGATGTTAAAAGAGGATTAATATTGGTTGTGGACACATAAATATTTTATTTTCTGCAATTTTTTGGCATGTCAAAAATATTTCACCCAGAAAAGAAAATCAGCATTTGTGTACGTTTCTTGGCATGTGTTTACAGAAGACTGGGGACAGAAAATGGAGTGCCTCAGTGTACGGCAGTGAGGAAAAGTGGCTAATCAGAAGTGACATCATCAGCTCTGTCCATCCAATGAAAATGTTTACCAGCTAGGCCTGAAAGGACACTAAATTCAGAACAGAGAACTTAATGAAACTGTCTTTATAGTGTTTTTATTCTAAGTGAAGGGCTTCAATGGTCATTTTAGGCGTGGGCCAAAAAAATGTCTTTTTAAATCACCTAGCCCACGTCCTTCAGATGCAATCAGCCTCAATCCATTCTGTCAAGTGATTGGACCTTATCTCTTTGGTACATCAGAACTTAAGGAGGTCCTGCTGTTTTTAGTTCTGCTTATAGTAAATCTTGATGGCTTCACAGCTGAGTGACAGGAGTGGATAGAGTGTAGGATTGGAGCCTTGAGAATTCAATCTGTGGCAATGACTTCTTGTAAGTTGGACATGTGGTTTGACCTCCCTGGACCTGTTTCTCCATCTTTCAAATGAAGATAATAACATCGACCACCACACACTATTTTAAAATATACTTCTCTTCCTATATGTCTACCATCAGATGAATGCCAGGTGCTATACAATAACCTTATGATAATAATGTTATTGCAAATTATGGCATGAGATTCCCTTATAGGAAAAAATCACTTCCATCAATTCTTTTAGTGTTCTCATCAACTAAGCTCTCTTGGGAGAGCCTCAAAACCATCTGCTTCATTTAGAATGTTTTGAGAGCAAAATATGGTTATAAAGTATTTATTAAATTTCCAGATTAAGTATCACCCAACTCTGATTATTAACTATTCATTTTTCAATGAGACTTAGTAATAAACACGGCAAAAGCATGGAAACCTCTTCAGACATTTATTAAAACTAAGTCCTCACGTGGACATTTGCAGGTAAAGGTGCAAAAGATAACAAAGAGGGGTTTGAACACCACACAACACTGCCAGTGGACATGGCACAACATCTCTAAAATGCCTTATAATAAAAAAGCTGTTGATCTCTTCTCCTTAGGTTGATCAGGTCATGCTTAAAGTATGTGCAATAATCAGTAGCCAACTGCCTACTTGACCACCTCAAGTGAAGTTCTGGGTGCTCCATACTAATGGAATTTGCTTTTTAAAAAAGCTAAGAAAAAGATACTTGGAGATACACACACACACACACACAATTTTATTTTACCCAGGCATTAATATGTTACAGCTGAATTAATATGCCATTTTTACTTGTAAGTTTCAGTGAAGTTTCTTTAAACGGAACACTAATGAAGTTAGATTATGATTTACTATGTTTATTTCAAGGTGATTTACACTTTGTGTTGATCAAAACAGGGACATAGTCACCATAGATTGGCTCTGTCTATGCCTAAAACTACTTCTAGAGGGTTTGTACCTGAGGGTTCAGAAGAGTACAACCTTTCCATGTAACTAGGTACCTTTGATAAAATGACAAGACAAGACAACAAAAAATAGTCAGATAACAGCTGTCTCTAACTATTACCCTCACTTGGGTGGAGAAAGTATTTTTCCCAATGCTTTTCTACCTCAGTGGAAGAAAGCACACACTTTTGTCCTTTTGGTTAAAGAAAGAAAAGGAAAACAGGGGAGCAAAGAGATAAGCTATGGAATTTAAACCAAAACTAAGGCCAGCTACAATATCTAGGGGACTTGTATTCTGTAAATGAAAGCAAGGACTCCTGCAAAGGCAAAAAGACTTGCTCAGTATGCAACATGTGTTCCCCATTACTAGGAAAGAGCGGACAAAATTCAGCCTTGGAGTACCAATCTTGTACAATTGCTTCTGCAGCAACCCTGCTAACCTGGGGCTTCTCAAAAGCGCTGCATGTGTAGCATAGGTTGTGACCCATCTTGGCTAACAGGTGAGTTATCTGGCTGCCTCTTTCTGAGAATGATTAAAAAAAGAGAGAGAGAGGAATTCGCTTGGGGATGATTCGGACAGATAAGGAATCAACATGCCACCTGTGATCAGACCTACGATGTCTTTATCAACTCAGATGCTCTGAAACCACCATCCACTTACTGAACAGGAGGATCTGTGATGCCAGCATCATCTTGATGGAAACAAAGGCCCTGCTGGGGATGATATAAACTCCCAAAGGTCTGTAAACAAAAGTTTCCAGGACATATCAAGAACATGCTGAGTGACTTTGTATCTTATGCATAATTACCCTCAGCTGTCTTATTTGTGGTCTGCTTTCCAACAGCAAAGTATATTTACCACTGAACAGCTGTCCTACAGAAAGTCAATTTGGTTCCTTAGAAATATTCTAAAATTTGCAGCATTTAATCTCACACTTGTGGTGTTATCTGAGCTGGGTTTGGACAAAAGTGACATAGGTGTTTACATTCACTCTCCCTTAGTTTTGCATACCTCTTCTGATAGTTCTTCATCACCCCTTGAGATTTCTAAACTATCAGTCTACTGCCCAGAATTCCACATTACCATAACCCAATGCCTCATGTACCTTCTTGTGCAAAGTTTGTGCTCAATAAATATTTGGAAATCAAAACACAAAGGAATGAAAACCCTAAGGCCTATGACAATTCCGCAGGTTCTGAAGAATGACTGGAAGAATGGGATAAGCTCATGGGTTTGAAAGAATTAAGGCTGATATGCAAACATCACCCATTCTTTACCCTCAGGCAGCAGATTCCTTTGCTGATGCTGTATTTTGTTTTTGTATTTGAAATCAGCCTTTATTTCATTGGTTTGAAAACTTTCTTATAAATTGAAGTCACAGATTTTTTGTTAGGAGTCTACTTGGGGTTTATAGAACATAATATAACAGAAAGAACTTCAGAACTACTGAAAACAGCAACAAAAGTCTGTCAGCAAATGATGTTAACTGGATCCGATGGACTATACTGAGTTTGTTCAATTCAATCCTGCACTGTGTTCTGTCTCTTGTCCTCCAAATAAACTAGTACCCCCATCAACTTCCAGCTCTTGTTCCAGGAAAAAAATGTCAGTGAAAAATGTCTTTAGGAAAATTCAGGGAAGCCATTATTCTTGGACCTTACATAGTCATCACAAAATCTTCAGTGACATAGTTGATTCTAGATGTTGTTTTTAAATTATTTTATTGTTGTTCAATTACAGTTGTCTGCATTTAGTTTTGAAAAGGAAACTAAGTTGTAAATTGAGACAGCTACACTGTCTTAGTCAACTCAGGCTCCATCACAAATTACCATAGAAGGGGTGTGTTAGACTTGAGTCATTTATTTTCTCACAGTTCTGGAAGTAGGAGATCTGAGATAAAGGTGTCAGGCCGGCTGAGTTCCAGTGAGTGACTCTGTGACTCATGGATGACCACCTTCTCTCTCTGGTGTCTCGTCTTACTGTAGCACTGACACCATTATGAGGATCCTGCTCTCATGGCCTCATCTAAACTTAATTACACCCCAAAATACCATTCACATGGGGGTAAGAGCTTCAACATTTGAATTTGGGGATACACGATTCAGTCCAGAGCCCACTGGCCTCATTTTAAGGCTAATGCTAGGGACTTCTAGTCTGAAGGTCAGAATACAAGGAAATTATGTTCCTGAAAAAGGATACCAAATAGGTTTTTTTCCCTCGAGTTCACCAAATTACATAGAAGTCCTTGACACTATCAGTACCAGCCATTCAATTCAGGTTCCACTGGATCAAATGATGCTGCTGCCTGCACAGTCCCACCTCTTCTTTCAAACCTCAGGTTCTTTTATCAAACATGAATGTACCTTTAATAATGGAAGCCTCAAATGCTGTCATTTAGGATGTTTGTGTTACCTTGTCCAAGGTCAAATGCAAGCAGTAACCAGACATGATCAGGTACTAGATACTGTCATACCTTGGTACTTGTCAGCCTCAGAACTCATCAAACCCTGTACTCTTCACATTTTGATGAGAAAAAATGTTTCAGCACTCAGCACTTGCTAGAACTTGCATGAGTCATGACGTCACCATGCAAGATCAAATGCTTCATCACTCATTGCATTTTGTGCTCATCGGTTTTGGCACTCATCATGAGTTTCAGCATGAATTAATGATGAGTACTGAGGTTTCACTGTCTTCCTATTGGCATACTAGGCACAACAGAATTAGATAGCAAACAGTATTTCTATTACTTGTAAGAAACAAATAAAATTTGTTCCCCTTACGCATTATTTCATTCTCAAAATGAGCCAGTGTTTTTATCTAAGATGCATCATCTTCCATTTTTCTAGACCAATGTCAACTCCCTGAGCATCTTTGTCCAGCATTCTATTCATTTGGAACCCCTTCTTCTTACTGCTATTTGCAACACCTGCAGTACTTGGGAGTCTAATGAACGTGCTGTTTGTCACATCATTCATAGCCAAGGAGTGTATCAACCATAGCCAATTCCCATTGCCTCTCCACTCCTCTCACACACATCACAACCTCCCCCATCTCAGAACTCTGCTCCTTGCCTCACCACTCCTCTTTAGTGGTTCTTTAGCTAATTTGAACAATGCAGGAACCTTGAGTGGGAAGCTAACCAATTTATTTTTCACATATTTCATAAAACCCTGCAGCAGTCTACTGGAGGAAAATCAGATATTGTTAACATTTTTCATTCAGCAGAAATTGGTTTTGTTTTAAAGGAGGGGTGCAGCATTGGCTCTGTTTCTTCTTTATAAAGCCACACAAATCATAATATGGATCTCAGCAAGGCTTTCCCACCTCCTCAGCAACCTCAACCTCCTCAACTCTTGGTGCTTATAGCTCCCCTTATTGAGGTATCTCTACTTGCTCTAGTGTGTTTTCATTTTGTGTTCTTGTTTAACTTCCTTGAGTTTCAGCTTTATATTCCTGTCCTCCTGGAATGCCAGAGGAATGCAACAAACAAATGCACCAGTGATTCATTACCATTAGCAGCCATAGTGGAATCAAGAACTTTATCAACTTCCTGGCTTCCTGGTTCTGTTCACAGGGGAGCTGCATTAGGCACAAATGGCTTTCCTTACCTTTCTCTCGATATGCAGTTTACATAACAGACTATCTTTCTCTAGTTTAGTGCTCTGTGGAATTTTTACTTAGACATAGGCAAAGCCTCTCCTCTACTGCTATATCTAGAGTTCATGGCACTGAATCTTCACATTAAGTAGGAGGGAATTTTCAAGGACATATAAATAGAAATACTTTACTATTTATAGCACACAAACTACTGTAAAAGTGTATTTCAGGTTATCATTTCCAGTGTATCTAATTACTCGGTTCTGTTTGAATTGAGAATCTGTTGCCAGGCAAATAGACACATCCCAACCCGGCTTATTCTCAAGTTCTTATAAATGCATGCACTACAGTCTATAGGCCTGCATTGGATCATTAAGAGAAATTTCCCCTCCTGTAACATTCCATTTGGTGCTCCCAACAGCAGTCTCTCAGTCTTGATGGACTGTGTGGTTGAATGGGGTGACAGTGGTGGAGGGAAGGGGTGATCATTCTGTACTATATTTTGAGTGCTTCCAGTAAAAGAGTGTATATGCTCCAATAGCTAATGATAGCTAAGGCTTTTAACCACAGCCCCTTCCACAAAACTAATATTTCATGGGGAAAAATTACATGTCACCATCTATGGAACTTTGGTAAGCATGAATAAAAATATGTTTGTTCACCTGGTCCTTGAAAACAATCTGCATTTGGCATTGTATTTTTAGGAAAGTAACTGCAACTGGCTCAATGCAGATAGTGTCTCTTTTAATATATTTATATTACATTCTCTCTGCTGAGCACTCTCGAATTCCCAGTGTTTCTAAAAATGAGGTACATGGACCACCTGCAGATTCATGCCCTGACTGGTGTGGCTCAGTTGGCTGGGTGTTACCCTACAAGGTGAAGGTTCACCAATTCAATTCCCAGTCAGGGCACATGCCTGGATTTGGGGTTTGATATCCAGTCAAGGCATGTGTAGTGGGGGAAGGTGGCAGCCAATCAATGTTTCTCTCTCACATTAATGTTTGTCTCCCTCTCTACCTCCCTTCCCCCCTCTAAAAATGGATAAATATCAATAAAATCTTTAAAAAATAAAACAAATTAAAAAACTGCAGATTCATGAACCCATCACAGGCCATGTAATACAGGATCTCTTTGGGGCCATGGTCTGAAAATTTGCATGTATCATAAACACTCCAGGTGACCAGGAGGCCCATTGCAGCTGAGCAACCACTGAATCCTCAGAGAGGGTAGTGAGAGCTTTAAAAATAAAACAAACACATGTTTTCTTTTCTTTCTTTTTTCTGGTCCTCTGACCAGGAATAAAACAGGCAACATTTTGCTTTGGGGAATGATGCCCAACCAACTGAACCACATCAGCCAGTGCTTAACATCTTTAATTATTTAAAAAATTAAAATTACATTTTGTCTAGTTTTAAAAAATAAAACTATTGGTCTTATGCTTTAAAAAAAACAGTGACAAGGTGGGGACATTACAGAGGGGAACTGGGCGTATACAGGTGGGACAGGGGCAGTGTCCTGGAGAAAGTGGCATCTATAGATTGAAAGGATGCATAGGAATCTGGTAGGATGAGAAGGCTATGGGTGAGTGGATGGGGGAGGCGAGAGGGGAGAATATTCCAGACACAGAACAAATGCAGAGGTTCAGAAGTTTTCCACAAAGAAGTACTGGGCCATAATATAGCCTTCAAAGAAATATAATTAGTTCATTCAGACCCAAAAGAAAGGGTAGTATGAAATTTCAGGTCTTGTGACAATTGTATAAATACTTTTTTCTTCTTGGGTGGAGTTGGGTATTTGGAGGGAGGTTAGAATGATATATGCCCCAAATTGTATGACTTGTAAGCCTTGCCCATGAGATAGTGCAATAAAAAAAGGAACCTTTAGTACTTTCGTCCTGCTAGGAAATTGCTGACCTGATTCTTTTGATTGGGAAGAAAAACGACATCAGTTGGTGTCAAGCAGCAGGCAGTGACCACTGTTTCTTTAAAGACAAAATATGAAACACTGCAAATGTATTTTCCAATAAACTTGACTTTCTGAGCCGAACCACCAAAAAAGTGCCATACAATAAAAACATAAGGAACAAGGGTATTTCCAGTTGCCATTAAATATAATCCAAGTGAAGCGATTCACCATAGCTCAGGTGCAGGCTTCCCATCAATACGATTTATAAGGGTTCAGCTTCCAAAGCTACACTTCCATCTGACGGTAATTTCCTTTTTTCATTTTGTCTTGTTTTAAGTTGACCACCATTTTCAATCACAGTTATCAGTTCATCGCTTGGATGAAGGTGACTCAGCAGTCCTCCTTTATCTAATTCCTGAGGTTGCCTTAGATTATCTTTCACAAGCCAAGTCTACAATGATAACAGGAAAAACAAATTAATCTGAAGATGAGGGTTTATCAAATGCCATCTTCTGGGGGCCGAATTTTTATTAAAGATGAATCAAATAATATTTTGAAATGAGGGGTGTGGTTATCCAGAATCATCTTCTGCCCCAAGCATGGCTAATTCAACATTTTTAATATGCCGTTCATGATGAGTTTTATGAACAAAAGACGTCATCACTTTGCTAGCCAAATGAGTCATCTTAATATTTTAGGACATTTGTATTTTTAAAAGGAATTAATATTGTCATCAAATTAATCAAAAGGAATGGCGTGAACCTAGCATGGTAAATGTTGAAATAATTATTTTCCAGCTAAATCACGCTAATCCTAGTAATCATCTCTCTTAAATCAGCATTTCCTAATGTATGGAACTGTTAGTAAGTGCTTTAAGAAAGAAGAGTTTTCAATACAAATAAATTTGGAGAACTCTGTGTTAGACCCATCAAGGCAGGTTTCTTTATTATAGGACTTGTCAGAGCCTTGCATACACTAATATGCATTACTGACTACCAGGAGCTGGATATGGCACACAGCATGTGCTCAACACATTGACTGTTTTTCTTTCACAGTGCACAGTATTGTATAAAACTATAGCTTCCCTATAACATATTTCAGGAAATTAGAATCTATTTGAAATAGTCATTTATTTCTAAACTTAAGAAACAGTATAAATCTGGTTTAACTATGTCTTTAAAAATTGTGTGTGTGCAAAATGTCTTCAAATTTTTCAAAACATTATTCACTAATGCTGTCCTGTAATCAGCAACTTCCAGCGTTGGCAGTGTAGTGCATCTATAAGTGTGTCTATAACTTCTGTATTGGACATGTAATTCAGGGTGATTAAGCCAATTGGGCTAAGCCAAGATTACCACTTTACATGATCGATCCACAAATTGTAGACATAATTAATTGAAAGTGTGTGTATACAAAACTGAAAGCATGGATAAAGAAGGCTTATTTGCTTGTTGCATTCCTCCTATATATTTTCATTCAAAACAGGAAAACCAAATGGGAGTAGTTATCAGAATGTAGCTGTTAGAAGTTAAATAAAATTGAGTATTTCTGCAGCATTCATAATTACTTTCAGAAACCTGAACAAGAAATGCAGGTCTCAACACACCACAGTAGTCTGGAATGAGCCTTGAGATTCCGAATAGGCTTTGTGGTCAGCAAATTGAAAAATGTCCATGCAGCTCTAGCAATACCATCCTCCGATATATCTCTTGGCATTACCACATATATTATATCAAGGCAATTGCATTTCTTTTCTGAGGGGTACATGCATTGTGACACTTTTACATGATAGCTCTCAGCAGGCTTTTTAGTACTCTGATAGATAACCTAGTTTACAGAACTATTTCACTAGTTTTAAGAGGTCTCTAATAATGTTATCATAGGTGATTTGGAAATGGCTTTGAAGAAGGACTCTTAGAGCTGTTGAGTTAATAACATGCATTACCAACATTCCATGATATTTTTTATGCTCCTAAAATGTTCACTCTCTAAATGAGCCAATCTCATTCTCCGTCCCTCCCTGTACATGCAGGTATGTGAACATAATGTGGCCTGCATTAGAATGAGTACTCTAATTTTATACATCACAAGAGATAGCGTCTCTTGATATAATACAGCCTTAAAAGTCATTTTCAAAAACTATTAGTGTTTCTAAAGTTTCTGTGCCCAGCCAAATGAGCACTTCCCCTGCCCGTAGTTTCATGCTTTCCCACTTTTATCCATTCCCATGCTCACCAACTTCTATTGTTCCCCTTATCAAGTTGCTAAAAGTAATACATCACTTGCTTTTTGTTTTAATTTTATTTAGTTATTTTTCAAGTACAGTTTTTTTGTCTATTTCTCCCATCCCAGTCTCCCCTGCCCCTTGCTCCCCATCTCCCTCCCATCCCCGCCCCCCCCCCCAGTTCTCGCTCCTGTGTCCTTCCTATTTGCTCCTCCAAATCCCTCCCCCTTTTCCCCCTTAACTTCCCTTCCTTTTCCCCTCTGGTCACTATCCCCTTGTTCTCTATTTCAGTGTCTTTGGTTTTTTTTCTGCTTGCATGTTTGTTTTGTTGTTTAGCTTCCTGTTAAAGGTGAGATCATATGGTATTTGTCTTTCATCACTTGCTTTGAAAAAGACTATTCTGTTTAAAAGAATGGGCATTCTCCCATACACACTGATGGGAGGACTGTAAATGTACATAGTCTATTTGGAGGACATTTTAGCAGTAAATAAATGCCAGATATCTCTCATTTGTTTTCCTCTCAAACTATTACATGCATATAACCTTTAACTTATCAATTCTACTTCTAAGGAATCTATTCGTTTCTGTTCATACAGGATAATTTCACAGGTGCACAAATAAGTATGTACATGAAATTCATTGCAGTTATTCATAAAAGTAAAATATTACGAATCACCTAATTGCCCATACATATAGGAGAATATCAAGCAGCAGAGGCAGATCTATACATACTGTCCTAGAAATATGTCCAATGGACATTGTTCGGAAAGGGAAAAGGAAAGTTATAGAACAGCATGTACAGCATGATTCCTAAATTTAGGTTTCAGAAACATTAGAGGATACCTACCACGCTGTTATCATTGAGTACCTCTAGATAGGGGAATGGGTTGGGACAGGTTTTGGGGGGAATACTGAACTTCTCAGAGTTATATTTTTGTGTGGTTTGTCTCATTTTTACAGTAAGTGTACAATCATGTGTTATTTGTATAACATATATTAAACTAAAATTCAACTGCAATAATTTCTAAAATAATGAGTTTCAAAACTCATACCCTCAAGCAAAACAAATGAGAAGCATTCGATACTATTTCTCATTAGGCAGATTAAGGTATTGTTAAGGGATACCACATTATTTCTCATAGTTTTGGGGCCAGTGAATTATCCATTATTTCTTTGAGTACTGTGGTCCACACACCACCCTAGAGTGTACTGTATGATCATGCCCTTATATAATCCACTCCCTTTGAGCATACGTGTTAGAAGCATGACCTGTGACTTGCTTCTAACTAAGAAACTATGGAAAAAGTGATGGGCTATCATTACCCTGATTACATTTATACATATAAAACATCTTTTCCTCGCACTCCTTTTACTTATACATGTAAGACTCCTTTGTCTCCTCTTCCTCTCCTTCTGATGCTAACTTCAGAAAAGACTGCCATGAGTGTGATTGGACCTGTGGTGGTGGCCATGTGGCAAGACCTGGAGAGTCGCTGATAGTTGAGGGTGACTCCCGACTGACAACCAGCAAGAAAATGGGAAACTCAGCCCTACAACTGTAGGAACTGAATTCTGCCAACAGCCACAGGAGCTCAAAAGAGGATTCTCAGATGAGACCTCAGTTCCAACTAACATTGTGATTTCAGCCTGGTGAGACCTTGAGCAGAGAATCCAGTTGTGGGTTCCCAGGTTTGTGATCATAGCACTTGTGAGATAATAAATGCATGTTGTTTTAAGTTCTTAGGTTTGTGCCCATTTGTTATACAGCAATAGAAAATGAATACAGGCAGTGAAAGACAAATACCGTATGATTCACCTATAAGTGGAACCTAATAAACAGAACAAACAAGCAAGCAAAATGCAAACAGAGACTTGGAAATAAGAAACAAACTGACAGTGACCAGAGGGGAGGTAGGGGAGGATAGTGCTCAGGGGGAAAGGTCATTAAGGAACATGTATAAAGGACCCATGGACAAAGCCAAAGGCAGATAGGATCGAGGATAGGAGGTGGGGATGGCTGGGGTAGGGGAGAGTGGTGGAAGGAAAACGGAGGTAACTGTACTTGAACAACAGTAAAAAAAAAAGAGAGAAATATGAAAAAAGAAAATGAATACAATTACCTTGTTCTTCAATTTGACTGACATCATATTATCCAGTAGAAGACAAGAGAGTACAATCAATCAGTTATTTTGTCTACTAACTTCCTCCTGCTGAACCATGCACACACGCATACACTTAAATGTTACAAATCTCTTCCTGTATGTTAGGCACTGTACTACGTATTTATATTCCTTATCTCACAAAATCCTCACATTAGTCCTGTGATTAGGATGCTGTGGTTTTAAGACATTACCAAATTGGGCTCTAGCTCGTGTAGCTCAGTGGGTTGAGTGTGGGCCTGCGAACCACACGATCATGGTTCGATTCCCAGTTAGGGCACATGCCTGGGTTGCAGGCCAGTTCCCAGCAGGGGACTCACAGGAGGCAACCATACATTGATATTTCTCTCCTTTTCTCCTTCCCCTCCTCTCTAAAGATAAATAAATAAAATATTTAAAAAAAGACATTACCAAATTGGCCCAAAGTAGCATAGCTGGTAGGTAGCTAAGCATTTAACAGGACATAAAAAAAAAAATAAATAAAGAAATCAACAAATGACCCGGAATTTACACACTTACTTTTCATAAAATACCTTAAAAAATCAATGATTAAGAGAAGTTGGTAGCCTGGCTATCCACCCAAAGATAGTAGATCTAATGTAGATAAAGGTAGTTATCTCATAATGTTACCTCTCTTCCCCCAAACCAATGACTTTTTCCAGCACTTGTTTGTAGTGATTTCAGATAAAAACTCAGTGAGAGTTGTTAAGAGTAGAACCTGGCTACGATGTGGCTCATTATCACACAGTTTCAGATATTCAGCCACTCATACAATTTCCTCTTTGAGTTATACAAAATACAGTGGCTGATAACCCATGTCAAGGGTAATTGTGTTCCTTAGTATCAGGAGATCTATGAGTTTTAAGTTCAGCAGGGCTTCCTTTTATTAAAGGAAGTAAACCTTACAAAACTAAAAAGCCAGAAGCATAGTGCTTCAAACTACAATATGACACAATCAATGTAATCATCAATGGGCAAGTTGAGATAAACATCATACTGACAGGATATGTGGCTGAAGAAGGCCAGAGAAAGAATGACTCAATTTGATTCTTCCCATGGGCAAAGGC